GTGTGGTGCATGTGTGGGCATATGGTGAACCACCACCATTCCATCACAGCCAGCGTTGCGACACCATAAATTTTCCGCGACCGTTGCGGACGCAAACACTGCCAGCCAGCACCCAGCACAACAACGATGTCGTCCACGGCTGCGACGCCTGCGGCCAAAGCTGGCAGCAGTGGTGGCGGTAGCAGTGCCGCCAAGCGGAAGATGCTGCTGGTTGCTGCGTCAGACAAGAAATGGGCGGTCATCGACGAGGAGTTCCCAAACCCGACCGTTTCCGCCGCCCCTCACTCCGATGACGTCCAATGTGTCGCGTGAGTGCACACTGGATGCCTTGGCTCACTGCACTCCTCGCACACGCAGCTTGCGGCACGCTGAGCTTGCTTCACATGAGCTCAGTGAGCCGTCCTCACACCCGCGCACACCCGCGCACACACGCATATCTGCTGTGTATTTGTGCTTGCTCATACACCCTCACGCTTCCCACACATTCCCAACAGGTGGAGTTCAAACAACAAGTTTGTCACCACTGGTGGTTTGGATGGGAAGATTGTCATTTCCTCGTTGGACAAGAAGCCCGCTGCGCTCACCCTCCTGGAGGCTGGACCACAGCAGGTAGCAACAACAGCAACAACAACAGCAACAGCAACAGCAACAACACAGACTTGTGCCTGTTACATGCATACGTGTGTGTGTGTGTGCTTTTGGTGTTTGAATGTCGCAGCGCAAGACAAATGCTTTGTCAACTGACTGCCCGTAACCTGGCCACTGCATGACCCTGCTCACCTTGGTACCTCGAGCAGCCTGCTCACCTTGGTACCTCGACCATCTCACTTTCTCACCTTTACTTTTGTGCCATTTGTGTGTTGTATGTTGCGATTGTACAGCCCATCCACACGCTGGCCTTCTCAAAGAACTCCAACACGCTGGCGTATGGCGACGGCCAAGGCATCATCTCTCTGTTTGATCTCAGCAAGAAGCACGTGTCGCGCACCATCAACGGCTACAACGCAGCCATATCCTCCCTCTGCTACGACAAGGGCAGCGAGCAGCTTGTCTTTGGCGACCGCCTTGGCAACGTCGGCCTGTACAATGAGCTCGAAGACAGCACCTTTCACCTGCAGCGCGGCCCCTCCTCCGTAAGCGCTGCTGTCATGTGCGAAATTTGTATGTGTTTTTGTGCACGTGTATGTGTGCCGTAGCTGTTTACACGCATGTACCTTGGCTGCGCGCGCGCGCGTGTGTGTGTGTGTTGACCTTGGTTGTGTGCCAACAACGCCAACCGAAGCAAGCACGTCTGGGGCAGCGGTTCCTCTTCACTCGCACACAAGCACACACCTCATCCACTCATTCGCCATCTTTCGCTTGCTGTGACACGCACTCCATCCCCACACCATGCTATGACTTACGTACAACACACACTACACACTACACACTACACACTACACACACACACACACACACATACACTACACCACACACACTACACCACACACACACACACACACACACACACACACACACACACACACACACACACACACACACACACACACAAAACAGGCTGTCACGCAGGTTGCGTTTTCCCGCGCACGCCGCAACCTCGTTGCCGTGAGCCAGGACGGTGGCAGCGTGAATGTGTTTGACACCACGCGCTCCGGGCACGTGAACACGTTCAGCGCGCACACGAGCAAGGCGACGGGCGTTGCGTTCTACCCGAACGACAAACTGCTCATGTCCAGCGGATACGAGGGCACCGTCGTCTTCTACGACCTCCTGCAAATGAAGTGCGCGTGTTGCTTCGTGTGTGTGTGTGTGTGAGAAAAGTGGATCTCTCTCTCTCTCTCTCTTGCCGTTGGCTCCGTGACCATCTTCGTGCCTTCTGACCCCAGTTTCCATGATTCCATGACTGGTGTACCGTCCACCACGGCTCCCTTGACCACCACAGGCCGACGGGCGAGATCAAGGCTGGCACGCCGCTCACCAGCATTGCGCTGCGCATGGACGGAACGCGGCTCGCTGTCGGCTGTCTTGACGGTCCGTGTTGGCGTGCTGTGATGCTGTTATTGGTCGTCGCTGCTCTCACACAAGTTCCACCAAGCGAGACAGAAGACGCGGAAGACACACACACACACACACACACACACACACACACACACACACACACACACACACACACACACACACACACACACACACACACACACACACACGCATGCAGTGCGAGGTTAGGGCAGCAACTGACACGACATGCTCGTTGTGGAATTGCCTGCAGGCAAGGTTCAGGTGTACGACATTCGGCGGCGAGACCGCCCGCTGACGACAATCGATACAGAGACGCACCGCCCAGTCGTTGCCCTCGCTTATCAAGTCAGATCGCAAGACAAGTCTCGTTCACGCTCATCCGTACGTCATCTCGCGATACCGTTTGTGTGTGTGTGTGTGTGTGTGTGTGTGTGTGTGTGTGTGTGTGTGTGTGTGTGTGTGTGTGTGTGTGTGTGTGTGTGTGTGTGTGTGTGTGTTCGATGGCGCATTGTTCCATTCGTGCATTGCACCTCGGCCGGTTCGCGCAGTCAGACTGGACACTCCTCCACACACCACGGCACTACACCACCTCGCCCTCTCTTCACCACACCCCTCGTCATGTCACACCACGTCACCACACCACCTCACCCCACCACTTTATCTCCGGCCACCTGCAGGCGTCATCTTTGCGGCGTGCGGACACGAGCGCCGTCTCTGCTTCGAGCGCACGCACACACACGCAAGCACACGCGCACACGCCGGCATCATCGTCATCGTCTGCCGGTGGCGACTGGCGCGAAGGAACATCGCTCCGCTTGTCCTCCATCCCAGAGTCAGCATCATCCGCAGGTGTGCGCACGGCACATGCTTCTGTGATCACGTTGTGCATGCATAAGCGCATGACTGTGACAGTTGATTGTGGCTGCTCCCACGTGTGTTGTTGGTTGATGTGCATCCATCCCTTATTCACCACCATCATTGTCACCATCGCCACCGCCAACACTGGTCAGATGCGAGCCGGCGGTTGACATCTTCGTCCGGGACGTCATCGCAGCAGTTCCGCTCCCCAGCAACAGCAGGTGCACATGTAAACACTGGCGCGCATACGCACACGCACGCACACACACGCATATGCTTGACAGACACACATTGACGTTCACTCACTCACGCGTGTGTGCTTGCATTGCTTTCGCTTCAGACACACGCAAAAGCGGAGCCGCATCCGGATTTCAATCGCTGCAAACGCCAGGTGCACATGAGTACATGAGTTGATACACACACACACACACACACTGAGCACGTGTTTGATCCCATGCTCCCTCACATAATCACACACACACACACACAATTACGTGCCACGCACAAGTACATGCACACACACGCACACACACACACACACACACACACACACACACACACACACACACACACGGACACAAGTACATGCACACACACACAACAACAACAACAAAACAATACCAAGAACACTGACGATTGTGCTGTCCTGGTTTTGTGTATTGACAGCACGGTCATCTGGTGCGGGATTTGGCGGAACGAGTTTCCGTTCCAAGGTTGGCCTGTCCAGTGTCCGCCCCAACCGAGCTGGAGAGCAAGGACCGCCACAGTCCTCTCTGCGGCGCGAAGTTCCAATGAGCATATCTAGACCCCAGCGCAACACAGCCGCATCAGCAGTACCAAAAGCACCAACACCAGCATCATCAACAGCAGCAGCGGCGGCGAGGGAGACGGGCGCCGCGAACGCAACTGCGGATGAATCGTTTGCGCCGCCGACAGCGAGCGACAACAGGGGCAGCGCAAGAGCAACAGGCGGTGACCACAGATTCAGACAACAACAACAACAATCGCAGCAGCAGAAGCCTGGGGAGTACAGCGGGCGAGAGGATGTGGGATACAAGGTTGGCGGGGCGGCGCGTGCTGGGGAGAGACCGGCAGCGGCATATTCCGATCGCAGTGGTGTTGGCAGCGGTGTACTGGATGACAGCCGGCGATCGCAGCAGCAGCAGCAGCAGCAGCAGCAGCAGCAGCAGCAGCAGCGAGAAGAGAAGGAGGAGAGAAGGAGCCACACATCTATGCGAGCGGACGAGGATGAGGATGCACGAGTGCGGGCAGCCATGCGACCGGAAACAGCGAAAGCGCCGTTCTATTTGTCGCGCGCACCAGACACCATCGGCCACGACACCGCAGCAACGCCGCAGCGCACGGATGCGCAGCAAAGGGTTGCTAGTGGTGCCGTTGGTGGTGGTGGCGTGACGACTGCTGAGCCCGCGCTCACACGAAAGGCTTTTGAAGCGATGCAGGTGGGTGTGGGAGAAATCTGGGGGATGCCGGGGGGGGGGTGGGCTCAGGATGGTGTGTGTTGTTGAATGGGCCTCAGCGTTGCCATTCGGTTTTGCGTGTGTGTGAGTGAGAGAGTGAATGAGAGAGAGAGAGAGAGAGAGAGAGAGAGAGAGAGAGAGAGAGAGAGAGAGAGAGAGAGAGAGAGAGAGAGTACGTGTGTCTGGTTCCGCTTATTGCACCTGCTGCCGGAGCCACCGTTGCCTCACAAAGCAGCATGCCCACCTTCCACTGTGTATTTGCTTGCGTGCGTGTGCAGTCGACGTTGCTCGAGAGCGTGCGTGGGATGATTGATGCGGCGATGATGGATCTTCGCTTTGAAGTCCAGCGTGATGTCCACAACATGCACCTCGAAATGTTCAGGCAGTTTGAGGTCCAGAAGGTGCGCGACATGCGACATGTGTGCTGTGTGTGCTGTGTGTGCTTGCAGGTGCTTACACATGGACGCACGCGCATGTGATAGATTAGTTGGATCACTGGCACCATCATGTGCTTGTCAGCAGCTCTAATCCTCAACACATAGCTCACCACCACCTCCACCACCACCACCACCTCTACCGTCTGCAGCGCGAAGTGCAGTCGATGGTGGCGAGCCAGTCTGTGCGGGACGACGTGATTGGGGAGCTGGAGGCGTTGCGGAACGAGAACCAGCAGTTGCGGCTGCGACTGGACGCGCAGCACATTGGCAGCAGCAACAACGGCAGCAGCAACAGGGTGTAGACGAGGTGGCGGCGCGGTTGCTGGTCATGCGGATAGCTTGCGGTGCTGACGGGATATTGTGATGCGTGCCTCTTGTGACGTGTACACCTTGTTTTCTTTGTTTGTGCACGTGAATAAACGCGACTTTGTTTACATTAAGTCGAACAGACACACAGACACACAGCCACACAGACATACACAAACACATGCACACACACAGACATAGACACAGACATAGACACACACACACACACACACACACACACACATACACACACATACACGCACACGCACACACACGAGGAGGCAGCTTCAGTTTGTCGATGGCGGGCACATGCGCATGTCGTGAATGCTCGTGATAAAGTACTCGACAACACGATCACCGCCACCATCATCACCATCGCCATCATCATCGTGTGTGGTCAAGTCAAACTTTCCATTCGTTTCTGCAGGAGAACGCAAACAAAACAACAGTCACACACATGTATGCAGGCAGTACATGTCAGCGTGAGCATGTCGTGTATGTGTGTGTGTGTGTGTGTCAGCGTTCTGGGCGATTCTGTGCATGTGTACGTGTACGCATGTGTGTCGGCACATGTGGATGCATGCAGGCACGGATGGTCGTGCTTACGCGGCGCGAGCGGGACGTGCGGCGCGAGACGGACGGAGATGACGTTGGCGGCCGGGTCAATCGCAACAACCTCGCACTCCTGATGGCCATTTGAGCAGTGGTGGTGGCGGCAGCCGTGTGAGTAACCACTATCACATGCAGCACACAGCACAGCACACACACACACACACACATATGTTGGGCAGGTGTCGCACCTTGAAGTCTGACACCTGCGGGGAATATGTCTCCGACATCTCCAGCACCTGAAAGAAAGCGGGCGGGGTTGCGAAGGAGCAGCACACGCGTCATGCGCATGAAAGCCAGTAAATCGAATATTCACAGGTGCACAGGTGCACAGGTGCACAGGTGCACAGGTGCACAGGTGCACACACACACACACACACACACACACACACACACACACACACACACCTTGATTGCGAGGCGGTCGCCCTGCTTCGGCTCTCCCGTCACCTCCGGCCACGCCGAATAGTCACCAACATCGCTACCAACACCAACACCATCGTGTGTCGCTGCCCCCACCATCATTGCCGGTGTTGACGCTGATGTTGCTTGTGCTTGTGTTCCTGGCTTTGGTACTGCCATCGCGGATGTGTTCGAGGGCGCGTGAGGCGTTGCGGGCGTGCTGGCCATGCCACTTGCTCGTTTCGGCGTCACTTCTGCTGTCGAGTTGGTCTTCCTCGCTGGCGTCTTTTTCTGTGGTGTTGCGCCCAACGCGTCCCCAGCCGTCTCCTTGGTCCCTTCCTCTTCACGATCACGATCACCCTCGCCCTCCTGCTGGTCCTTCTTCCCTCGTCCCCTGCGCCCTCTCCGCCCTCGCCTCCTTCTTCGCCTTTTCCCCGTCTGCGGCGTGTCTGCTTCGCTGGCGTCTCCATCACCAGCAGCGCTCGTGTCTGCAACGGAGTCTGCCGTTGTGTCCATCGCTCCAGCCGTGCTTGAAGCCGATGCTGCTGTGTCCGCAGCCAGCTGCACTGATGGTGTGCCATGTTCGCTTGTCTTGTTGCTCTGTTGTGCGAGTGTATCTGGTGTGGTTTCCTTGGCCGTCTTCTTGTTTGATTTCTTGCCTTTGTCCTTGCCATCCTTTGTCTTGTCCTTCTTCTTCTTCGCTTTGTCCTTCTTGTGCTGCTTGTCATCCGCGGCTTGCCCGGCATCCTGCTCGTCTTGCTGTTCCTGCTTCTTTTCTTGCTTCTTCTGCTTCTTTTGCTTCGTGGTCTTGGCTCGCTTTGCTGCCGACTCACGTGCGTCAGCGTCCTCACTGCATTGCGCCTCTGATCCCGTCACTATACCGGTGCTGCTGCTTCTGCGCTTTGGCGTGGAAGACGGCATCGGGGCTATTGCAGGGAACGAGGGCATGGCGAAAGGGTTGGCTGCTTGGGAGAGAAGGGACTGCAGATTCCACGATGGCTGCATGCCGCCAAACGGCACCACCGTCGGATACGCCTGTGGTGCCCGCTCGCCGTTGCCAAACACCCTGCATACGGCACGTTTCCCATTGTGGTGATAAGGAGCAGTGAGCAACAACATTCAGGAAGCCAATGGCCTCACAGAGGGTAGCTGAACCTGTGGAGACGACGAGAGGGAAGCACGTGCACGCAAACAAACACATATACACAGGGATACACACACAGGCACACAGAGGTACATACACCCCACACGCACACGCACACACAGAGGTACACACGCACATGCACATGCACACACAGAGGTACATACACCCCACATGCACACGCACCCACACGCACCCATACACACCCATGCACGTACCAGAGGCAGTCGTTGTCGCGAAGAACGGATGTAGATTGGTCGTCGCGCAAGGGACAGCCGTCCAAGTACAGCGTGACTGGCGCTTTCAGCTTGGTCAGCTTGCGCACGTGCTGTGCCACATCCTTGATGGTGTTGGCGCTTTCGACATCGCTCACTTCCAGCCACAACGGCGCCGGCTGCCCGGCCGCAAACACAAGCTTCACGCGCATAGATGGCGGTAGAAAAGAACCGTCAAACCTTGTTGTTGTTGTTGCTTGCTTTCTTTCTCCTCCGATGGACAACAACAGAGTCTCTGCCACTTCCACTGCAACACAAACCACACTGGCAAACAAACTGGCTGGCGTTCGTTCTCTTTCGCCTTTGGCTGGCTGTGGAGTCGTGAAGATTGGTGAATATTTTCATGCAACATTCATTCCAGCCAAACACAGCGCAACAAAAAGGCACAAGCGCACAACAACAAACCCACGTGCAACGCCATCACCGCAAGCCAGCCGCACAGCACACGCACAGCCGTCAGTCACCATGTCGGGTCTCAAGGTCTTTGAGGCCAACGATGTCAAGGTGTACAACTTGACAGCGGGGAGAGATGTTCCCATGTGGCTCTCCGAGCGCAAGCGCAGGCAGCTGCTGAAAAAGGATCCAGAGCTCAAGGTGGGGGCATGAAAGAGAACGCATGCTCCTTTGTCGGGTGGTGGATTTTACCGCTGCATTGTTGTTGCCGTTGCTCTTGCTGTTGTGGGTATTGGGTGTGAAGGGTAGTGCTGTTTCGGGCGCATACGCTGGGAGGTGGGTGTACTGATAGGAACTCAAACGAAACCTGGGTTGTGGTTGCTAGCGTCGAGTGGAGTTGATCCAAGACTTTGACTTTCCGACCGCGTGTGACGCGATTACCATCTCGCCAGACCAGCAATACGTGTTGGCCTGTGGTACGTTGGGAACATGCCAAGGCGGGAATGGTGAACTGCACTTTGTGGAGTGGGGCCAAGGTGGTTTGCGTTTTTGAGTACCTGCAAGACCCATGTCTCACATGTTGGAATCGTTGATTGATGTGCTGCTGTCACTCCTCCAGGCACCTACAAGCCGCGCGTCCGGTGTTTCGAGCTTTCTCAAATGTCCATGAAGTTTGAACGACACATCAACTGCGAAGGTTGGTACTGCTACCAGCGTGTGTGTGTGTGTGTGTGTGTGTGTGTGTGTGTGTGTGTGTGTGTGTGTATGTATGGGCGTGTGTGCGCCCCTTCTTGTGCGCCCCTTCTTGTGCGCCCTTCTTGTGCGTGTGACAAGTGTCTGTTCTCCCACGTGCGGAAATGATCTTCTAACGTGAACAAATCTATCCCACCTTCATCTCACTCTGCCACTGTCCTCTCCACCCCCCCCCCGCGGCGCACTGCCATGTTCGCCTACCACCAGCACACAAACTCCTCATGCTGTCGGAGGACTACACCAAGTTTGCGATGCTTCTTGCCGACCGCTACATTGAGCTTCACGCCGCGGGCGGTGTGCACTACAGGGTATGCGCCCGCTTGTCTGCTCACACACGTTGTGCTTCCACATTGCAATGTGGTGATGTCTGTGACTCAATAGACATCGTGGCTGAACACGGCGCCCATGTCTTGTGTCTGTCCCCATCCAACCTCCTTGTTCCTTCCACCCCCTTGCTCCTCTGTTGTTTCTGTTCCTCGTTTCACGCGTCCCAACTCTCCCTAATTCACCATTGGCTCGCCCATTCCACAACCCAAACTGTCTTCATTTCCCGCCGCTTCTCACCCCTGTTTCCGTCCGCACTTCACCGCCTGCAGACGCGCATCCCCAACTATGGGCGGGACCTCGCCTACTTCAAGCCCACAGCAGACTTGCTGGTCGCTGGCCTGAACAACGTGTATGCGCTGAACCTTGCCGAGGGCCGCTTCAAGGAGCCGCTGTCGTGCCCGCGAACGTCATTCACCAGTCTTGACCTCAACCCAGTCAACGGTCTCCTTGCCGCAGGCACCGCACAGGTGGGCAGGTGGGGGGAGGCGCGATGATTTGGTGTTGCGCACTTTACCATTCACACACACACACACACACACACACACACACACACACACACACACACACACACACACACACATGGGTGATTGCACGATGACTGACGCCTGTGCATTCTGACACTTCGGTATCTCACCACACACTTCTCCTTCATCCCCGACCTCGCTACACCACCACCACCACCACCATCATCATCATGACGATGGCAGGCTGCGGTGAAGTGCTTTGACCCGCGCACAGCCAACACGGCCATTGCGTCGCTCGATGTCATGCGTGGCATCCCGCCCTCAACCCAGCGCAGAATGTCAGTGCCAACTCGTGGTCTGTGGTCGTTGCTGGCGCCCACAGCACGAGTAATGTGTTTCCGCGCACATGCGATGCTCGTGTCGTCGTCATCATCCCATATGTTTCCGAATCACCCCCTTGTTTCCTTCATCCTGCCACACCTCACCACTACCACCACCATCACCACCACGACCATGATGATGGTTACTGCGTGTGCAGAAAGGGCATTCCGGAGATAACGACGCTGCAGTTCCTGCGCAACGGGCTCGGGCTCGCTGTCGGCACCGCATCGGGGCAGGTCCTCGTCTACGATATCCGAAGCACAAAGCCGGTGGGGCATGCTGGTCACACGTGTACTGAGCCCCGTGCTTGTCGTTTGTGTGTGTGTGTGTGTGTGTGTGTGTGTGTGTGTTTGTCGTGTGTGTGTGCGTGTGCGTGTGTCGTGTGTGTGTGCGTGTGTGTTTGTCGTGTGTGTGTGTGTGCGTGTTCTTGCGTTTGACTTCTTGCGTTTGACTTCAGACACGTTGGTGACTCACTTTCACTGTCACCCGCTTGATCGTTCTGCAGATGGTGGTCAAGGACCACAACTACGGCCTGCCCATTACATACATCAATGAACACGACATCTCAGATAATGTATGCACGCCAATTGCCACCTTACACCGCATGCTTTCTTCGCATCGACCCACTCTGCAATTCCCCAAACACACACACAGACACAGACACGCACGCACACACGCACACACACACACACGCACAGGCACACACACACACACACACACAGGCACACACACACACACACACAGACACACACACACGCAGGCACAGACGCACATAGACACACACACGCACACTCAAGCATCCCCCCACTTTGTGCATTCGTTGTTCGTGCATTCGCTCATCGGCCAACCCAACGTGTCACCGTGTGTTTGTACCGACTACCAGATGATGACCGTTGATCGCAAGGGTGTCAAATTCTGGAACAAGGAGACGGGCAAGAACTACCTTGCGTTTGAGGTGCGCACTTGCTCGCATCACATTGTGGACGTCTGTATTGTGTTCGTGTGTGTATGCATGTGTATGTGTATTTGTACGCGCATGTGTACCTTTTCTTGCCTGCATGTGCGTCTCAATACCGCAGTACCCCATGTCCCATCACCTCCAATTACACTCACTCCACCCCCCCCCCCCAAATTCACCCTCTGCCGCCGGTGCAGGCTGATGCGGACATCAACTGCGCGGCCATGTTCCCCAACTCGGGCCTGTTCTTCCTGGGCGGCGAGGAGTCCAAGGTCATGTCGTACTTCATCCCCGCGCTCGGTCCTGCCCCGAAGTGGTGCGGGTACCTCGACACGGTTGCCGACGAGCTGGACGAAGACGAGCAGCCGGTCGTGTACGACGACTACAAGTTTGTCACCCGCGAGGACCTTGGCCGCCTTGGGCTGACGGACCTGATTGGCACGGGCGTCCTGCGTGCACACATGCACGGGTTCTTCGTTGACGCGCGGCTCTACAACGAAGCCGTGGAGGCCCTCAACCCCTTTGCACATGAGGAGTACAGGTGCGAGCCACAGGCACTTGGCGGTGGTAGTTGTGTACGCTTTGTGTGCTGTGTTTGTACGTGTGTACTGTGTTTGTTTGTGTGTGATGTGAGCGTGTGAAGTGAGTGTGTGATGTGAGTGTGTGTGCGTGTATACATGTGCACGTGTGTGCGTTGTTGCAACTCTCTGCGAATTGTCTGTCGTTCGTTGTTCGCGTTTGCGCGTGCATCGTCCACCACCGTGGATACCACAGCCTCACCCAAACCTCCCTCCTCTCCTTTCTCGCGCCTCCCCCTGCGTCCCTGCTGCTGCGCAGGCAACAGCGGATCAAGGAGCAGCTTGAGAAGGGGACGGCCTCGCGGCTGCAGATGGAGAAGCTGCGGTGGAAGCTGCCCAAGGTCAACCGCCTGCTCGCCAAGAAGATGATGGCCCTCGAGGGCATCAAGGCTGAGAAGATGCAGGAGGAGATGAAGGAGGCCGCTCTCGGTGAGCTGGCGCAGGGCCAGGCCAGCAGCGCGGCCGGCGGTGATGCGGACGCTAACACATCATCAGCAACGGAAGCAACAGCAGCGGCAGCGGCGGGGAAGAAGAAGAGCACCATGTCGGTGGATGACCTGATTGACCCGCGGTTTGGCGCCATCTTCACCGACCCCGAGTTTGAGGTGGACGAGGCTGCGGAGGAGTACCGGGCGTGGCGGCCAAACCGGCACCTGGCTGCAGAGGTGAACAGGCGCGCAGACGGCATTGGCGCGTATGACGACGACGATGACGAGGACTCTGGGCCCGAGGGGCGCGGCAGTGATGATGAGGAGGAGGAAGCCGCGCTCATGCAGGACCTGCTTGGTGTGCAGCCTGATCACGACGATGACGACAATGAGGATGATGGCGATGACGATGGGTACGGTGGTCGCTCGCGGCGGGGCAGGAAGCAGCGGGGCAAGGCGATGCGGACGGGGCGTGACGGCGGGCCACGCCTGCAGGAGGACCAGGGCGACGTGGACATTCGGCCCATGCAGACATCGGCCATGAGCGCGGCCCGCAAGGAGGCCAAGTCAACGACGTTTGCCAAGCTGCTTGAGGCGACGGCCGGCGCGGAGGATGACGAGGACATGGGGCGCAGAACGCGCCGGGTTGCTGGCGGCAAAGTGGCGCACATTTCCATGCGCAAGGCCGGGAAGAAAACGGGCGAGAAGTCGGCACAGCAGAAGCGGGAGGAAGAGGTGGAGCGCAGGCAGGGCAAGCGTGGCATTCGAAGCTTGGGGCTGCGCAAGCCTAGCACAGTCGCTTACTGGCGTGGTCGCAAGGTGCGCAAGTAAAGCGCGCGCTCTCGTGTGTGTGTGCGTGTGCGTGTGTGTGTGTGTGTGTGCGTGTGTGTGTTTGTGTGTGCGTGTGTGTTTGTGTGTGCGTGTGTGTGCGTGTGTGCGCGCGTGTGTGTGTGTGTGTGAGGTTGTCGCTGTCGCTCTTTCGCGTGTCAGTGCGTTTGTGTATGTGTGGTTTCTTGGTTACACAGTACTCAAGTACACGATCAGCAATTGCCTCCAGCTAGCTAGCTGCTTGCGAGCAAGGCAGTTATCGAAAGAGAGAGAAACAGAGATAGAGACAGACACAGAGACAGAGACAGAGACACAGACAGAAACAGACAGACACAGGAAGGAAGCAAGCAAGTCACATCACAGTCACATCATGTCACATCACAAGCACCCAACAACAACCACGTTCAGGTACGACATCATAAAATGAATTTGCAATATAGGTTTCGTGCATTTCCTTGGATTTTGTGTGGATTGAGTGCGTTTTGGTGGATAGCACAGCAGGGGGCGGCAACAGGAACAAAAACAACAACAACGTTCGCTGCAACCATCTCGTCCAGCAGCCCACATCATCATCCCACCACCTTTGTTGTGTGTTGTTGTTTGTGAGGTGAGGTTGGATTGTTGATTGGAGGCAGCAGACACCACACAGACCACACACAGGCCACACACACAGCAGCCTGGAGGCAGCGCAGCCATGTCATCCTTCAGCGCCATGTTGCGGCCAAAGCTGGCTGCTGAAGGTGAGCAGTGTGCGAGCCTTTGTCTGCTTGTTTGTTGCACGACGATTGTTGGTGGATGAGGAGCCGCGGTGTTTGGTGGTGGTGGTGGTGGTGGTGGTGGTGGTGGATTTGTGCAAGCTGGCACTACGGTTCAATGGTCCTCAAGACAATGCTACTCCGTACCGTTGTGCCGTGCCGTGGCGGCTGCTTGCTTGCTGTGTTCGCAAGCGCTTGCAGCATCGGCAACCGCTACATCATGCACACCAGCACAGCACGATGCTCACCTCACACACCCCTGTCTTGCCCCTTTTTTCTGCCACCCTTGTTGTCTGGGGTTTGCCTGCTCGCATGGAATGGGTTTGGGCGTCATGCAGGCCTAAGACCACAGGATGGCGTTCCTGACATGACCCACATCTCCAACATCGACGTCAGCGGCATCAACACCAACCTGCGCGTTCGCTTCAACAGGGACGAGATCTACACGTACACGGGCTCCATCTTGGTCGCCGTCAACCCATACAAGAGCCTGCCCATTTACGAGCAGGACACCATTGACCAATACTCTGGAAAGCGCATGAGCGACCTTCCGCCTCACGTGTATGCAACGGCAGAGGCCGCCTTCCAGAACGTCCGCACCTCAGACACAAACCAGTCGTGCGTCATCAGCGGCGAGTCTGGTGCCGGCAAGGTGCGTTTAGATGTGCGTGTGTGTATACGTGTGTGTGTGTGTGTGTGGTGTGTGGGGTGTACGTTTGTACGTCTGTATGTGTGTATGTGTGTGTGTGTGTGTACGCCTGTACGTGTGTGTGTGTGTGTGTGGGTGGGTGGGTGTGTGGGTGACTGAAGTCACGCACACAGGGCCTCAGTGCACACTCTCGTTGTATCTCTGCATCTCGTCCCACAGGTCATCATCACGCTGACTCACCCCGTGCATGTTTATTTGGTGTTGCGTGCACGTGGGCGTGCTCTCAACGACGCGATGCAAACCATCAACACGGTGTAGACGGAGACGACCAAGTTTATTCTGCAGTACCTGTGTGCGGTCACCTCGACCACCACGTCGTGGGTGGAACAGCAGATCCTGCAAGCCAACACCATCCTGGAAGCTTTTGGTAACGCGCGAACCACCCGCAACGACAACTCCTCTCGCTTCGGAAAGTTTATCCAGGTGAGCGACCATGGTTGCGCACTGTGTGTGTGTCTGTGTGCGTCTTTGTTTGCTCGTGTGTGTGTTCAGATGAGGACTTGTCGAAGAATGATGGAACTTGACAGAGTTGTGCATTGTTGATGGGGGTTGCAACTACACCGACCCCCGCTCGATCGCTGCCTTTCTGGTTTGTGATGTGACGTGGCATGACTCATTGCTGTGCTGTGCTTGCGTGGCAGGTGTGCTTCGACAACAACTGCGAGATTCGCGGAAGCATCATCCAGGAGTATCTGCTGGAGCAATCGCGTATTGTGAAGGTGGCAAAGGACGAGCGCAGCTACCACGTCTTCTACCAAGTGAGGCAGTGGCATGCGAGCGTAGCAACAGCAACAATACTGTTTGTCATTTTCGAGGAGAGAAGAAAGAGAGAATGAGGGGGAAGAAAGGAGGAATGGGGTGGGGAAAGAAAAAGACAACAGACAAAAGCACACACACATAGAGTGCGCACTTGTTTAACCTTCTGACGATATACATTGCCGACCCGTCACCTGCGCTCGCCTGATGTCAGCTGCTTGCTGGCGGAGACAAGGAGCGGTTTCTGCTGGAGCCAAAGGAATCGTACCAGTTCCTGAACCAGAGCGGATGCTACACCCTCGAGGACTGGGATGACAGACAGGTATGCCCCCCACTGCCACGCTGCCACGCTCTTTATTGTGCGAGAGTATACTCCCGTGATGACCACACGCTTTGCACACTCACACTCACACACACAACACGCCACCACCTCTGTGTCCATGTTGCTTGCAGGCGTACGACGACCTGCGGCTTGCGATGACGGTGCTGAACATCAGCGACGAGCTGATTGACGGCATCTTTGGGCTCGTGTCAGCCATTCTGCACATTGGCAATCTCGAGTTTGTCGACATTGATGGCGAGACGGCCGGCCTCACCTCAAACGACGGTGCCATTCTCGCAAAGATTGCCCACCTCTTGGGGGTTAGTTGTTGCATGCGTTGGTGTGTGTTGGTTTCTTTGTTTGTTTGTTTGTGTGTGTGTGTGTGTGTTGAGTGTGCACGTGTGTTGAGCTGCAGCTTCTCTGTCTTCTTGGTCGTTGTACCCCATTTTATGCCTTTCCTCATCTCACCACACACACACGCATGCACGCTCGCACGAACACGCGCACACACGTGAACGCCACTGCAGTTGGATGCGCAACGACTGCGTGACATTGTGCTGACGCGACAGATTGTTGTTCGCGGCAACGCCACGACGATTCCATTCAAGCACACCGAGGCGATCAACAACAAGCACGCCATGGTTCGTCGCTGCTCGCCTGCCCTTTGTGCCAATGCATGCGATCTATGCAGGCACAGACATACCTGCTGGATGGATGGCTGTTGGTCATGTCAGATGCGCCTCTATTCACTGCCACAGTGCTTTCTTCACACACTGACACGCACACACACACACACTTACTCACTCACACACACACTCTCTCTCTTTCTCGTACACACACTGAACCCCGCTGACACACACTTACTCACTCACACACACACTCTCTCTTTCTCGTACACACACTGAACTCCGCTGACACACACACACACACAAACGCACACACCGCGTGCATCTGTTGCACAGGCGAAAGCGCTGTACTCGCGGACGTTTGCGTGGCTTGTTGACCAGATCAACAGCACGACCAACCCCGGCGAGTTTACGCACAAGTTCATTGGCGTGCTGGACATCTTCGGCTTTGAGAACTTTGTTGTCAACTCGTTTGAGCAGCTGTGCATCAACTTCACCAACGAAAAGCTCCACAAGTTCTTCAACCACTACGTGTTTGACCTTGAGCAAGCCGAGTACGACCGTGAGGGCATTGATTACTCCCACATCAAGTTTACCGACAACACGCTCTGCCTGGAGCTGATTGAGAGCTCGCCAAAGTGCGTTCTCCGCCTCCTCGATGAAGAATGCCGCTTCCCAAAGGTGCGTCATCAGGCCAGCACGCTCTGGCGTGGGTGGGGGGGGGGGGGTGACCAGATCTGTGTGCACATACCGCGCATTTTCAACACGCAGTATTCCGCCACCCTCCTCCTCTTTCCCTTTCGCACACGCACACGCACGCACACAATGCTCAATACTCACAATACACGCACATAATGCTCAATACTCACAATACACGCACACACACACACAATACTCACAATACTCACAATACTCACACACAATACTCACAATACTCACCATACACTCACACACAGGGCTCTGACCGGAGCTATCTTGAGAAGCAGCACAACGCGCTGTCGAAACACCCGCACTACATGAAGAGCGAAGACAAGACGCGATGGGACGAGGAGTTTGGCATCCGCCACTTTGCCGGCGACGTCGTGTACACCGTGGACGGGTTCCTGGAGAAGAACAAGGACGTGGTGCAGGACATGCTGTTTGACCTGATGCACTCGTCCACGTGTGCGTTTGTGCGCGACCTGACCAAGTTTCAGAACCTGCTTGAGGTTGACCGCCGCGTCATTGTCGGCTCGAAGCTGCGCCGCAACAAGTCCATCATGCGCAGGGGCACCTCCACAGACATGCGCACAAACAAAGGCAAGCCCACGGTTGGCGACACGTTCAGGCGGCAGCTCGCGGCGCTGGTGGAGGTGCTGGAGGCGACGACACCGTGGTACGTGCGGTGCATCAAGCCAAACAGCGACAAGAAGCCGCGCCTGTACGACGACGAGCTGGTGAAGACGCAGCTGCAGTACTCTGGCATGCTGGACATTGTGCGCATCCGCAAGCAGGGCTTCCCCGTGCACGTGAGGGCGGAGCACTTTGTTGAGAAGTACCACGGCATGGCGCGCGTGATGGGCAAGGCCCTGCCCAAGGACCCGCGCGACGCCGTCAGGCAGATTATGACCTTCATCAACGCCCCGGAGACGGAGTGGCAGATTGGCAAGACAAAGGTGTTCCTGCGCACGTCCGTGTTTGAGCCGCTGGAGGACCAAATGCAGAAGCTTCTGCAGGCCAAGGCCCTCGACCTGCAGCGCTTGCTGCGTGGCGCCATGGCTCGCGCCCGCTTCCAGCGCCAACGCAGGGCCGCCGTGCGCATCCAGGCCGCCGTCAGGGGCGCTGCCCTGCGCTGGCGGTACCTGCGGCAGCGCAGGGCAGCCGTCACCATCCAGGCGTACGTGCGCGGGTTCTTTGCGCGCGAATACGTCAAGGAGATTCGACGCAAGATCAAGGATGAGGAAGCACGGCGGAGGCGCGAGGAGGAGGAGCGCAGGAAGCGGGAGCTGGAGGAGGCCGGTGACGTCATGATGGAGGAGTCGGTGCTCGCCGCATCTCGCGAGCTCCTGGCCATGAGCCTGCAGGCACAGACGCAGGCGGACAAGGCGCAGGCCTCCACACACGCGGGCGTTGTCGACAGCCTGGACGCCCTGCTCTCCGGCAACTACATTGCCACGCCCGCGCTGAGCAAGCTGGACCACGCCGGCAGCGCCAGCGCCAGCGCCAGCTCCGGCTACGGCTCCGACGCCACGTCCATGACGTCTCGCTCCGGAACGAGCACGCTCTCGCGCAAGTCGTCGAAGCAATACCTGGAGGCCATGAGCAGCGAGCTGGACGAGCTGCTTGGCGGCGGCGAGGGCACGACCAAGCCCCCGGGTGCGCGCACGCTGCGGCGGCGCGAGCGCGTGGAGAAGAAGATTCAGCTGGAGACGGCGCAGGCCGGTGCGGGCATGTCGTCATCGATGACGGTGATGCCGGGCGCAGCAACTGCCGGGGCGCCATCTGGCCCGCGGGCAACGGCGGCGGCGGCAGGCGTGCTGCCTGGGGAGGCGTTCAAGCCGCACGAGTACCCGATGATCAAGTTTGCAGATGCGCACTTCAACGCACACCCGCTGTCGTCAGGCGGCACGCTGGGGCGAAGCAGCAAGAGCCTGCGCCGCGGGCAAAAGTCGGTGAACAACCCCATGCCCAAGACGGAGATGATTGTGTACACGAAGGCGTCGCAGCTGCCGACGTCGCTGGTGCACCTGCACAACCCGGAGAACACGGAGCTGGCGTGCAGCATCTGGAAGGACATGAACAAGCAGCTTCGCGGGGACCTCAAAGAGAACAGCGTGATCCAGAGCACGCAGAGCATTGTGGCGTACTGCCTCGACCGCAGCGAGCTCCGGGACGAGGTGTACTGTCAGCTCATTCGCCAGGTCACCAACAACCCGTCCCCGGAGCAGCAGCTGCGTGGGTGGCAGCTACTTGCCATCTGCGCGGCCTGCTTCTCGCCGAGCAAGCGCCTGTACCGCTACGTGATGGCGTTTATGATGACGCACCAGGCGGACTCGGTGGTGGGGGCGACGGCGACGTGGGCGCTGGACGCGCTGCGGCGGACCAAGCTGCACGACCACCGGCGCCGCTCGCCGCCGTCCGTTGTTGAGATCAACGCCATCCGGGAGCTGCAGCCCATCATCTGCCGCTTCTTCTTCCTCGACGGCAAGGCCAAGGCGCTCGGCGTGCACCCCTGCTGGACGGCGCGCGACGTCATTGAGGACCTGGCCAGCAAGATTGGCCTGCAGTCCACAGAGGGCTGGGCCTTGTTTGAGACAACGCCGCAGGCAGAGCACTTTATTCGCGGCACGGAGTTTGTGGCGGACATCCTGTCTGACTGGGAGTCTGCGCAGCGCAGCTCGATGCAGATGAGCAAGTACCAGACGACGGCGCGGCGGCGTGGCGCCAACAGCGGCGGCGCGTCCGGCATCACGCAGGCGCTTGGCGGCGGCGATGCGCGGTTTGTGTTCCGCAAGCGGCTGTTCCGGAACCCGCGCGAGCTGTCCAAGGACCCCGTCGAGCACGCGCTGCTGTACGCGCAGGCGGTGCACAGCGTCGTGCACGTGGACGAGTACCCCGTGAACGAGAAGGTGGCGCTACAACTGGCGGGCCTGCAGTCGCAGGTGGTCTGGGGCAACGCGCAGGAAGGCGTGGTGTCCCGGTACGAGGACGTGGAGCAGTACCTGCCGCTGCGCATTCGGGTGTCGGATCCGCACGCCACCAAGGAGGACTGGACCAACAAGCTGTACAAGGCGCACATGGAGTACGGGCGCGGACTCGATGCTGCGCGCGCAAAGGTGCTGTACCTGACGGCGGTGCAGCACTACCCGCTGTACGGCGGCACGTTCTTCGATGTGCAGTACAAGGGGTTCTGGTCGTACCCGGCGCGCCTGTTCCTCACCATCCATGCGGACGGCTTCAAGTTTGTGCAGCAGAAGACGAAGCAGGTGCTGGCGGAGTTTCCGTACTCTGCGCTGCGCAACGTGGAGGTGAACGCGGTTGAGGACACGATTACGCTCAACATGGACGAGAGCGCGGCGACGGAGGTGTCCAACTTCATGTTCTACACCCCGCGCAAGGAGGACATTGCCAACCTCATTGCGTCCTACTCGCCCGTTCACCGCAACTGGAAGGCGGTTGGCCAGGCCGCCGTCTCCCACCGCAAGATCACGGACAGCGACAAGGCGCGCGCGTGGGAGCTGGTGCGCTCGCACCGCTCCTTGCTTGCAGGCACGGGGATGCTGCGCAAGGTACCCGAGGGCGGCCGCGGCCTGCTGGCCAACACGCTGCGGCGGCGCTCGTCAAAGACGGGTGCATCTGCGGCGTCGGCGTCGGCGTCGTCGTCTGCGGGCGACTCCGCTGGCAAGGGCAGCAAGGGCATGCCGCAGGCGGAGATGGACAAGGCGTTCCCTGAGAAGTACTGGTCGTACACCAAGTCGAAGCTGCCGCAGCCGCTGACGGTGATGCCTGACGGGGAGCTGGAGGACATTGCGCTGGACATGTTCAGCTCGCTGCTGGTGTATGCGGGGCTCGCGTCGACGGGCGGGTACGCGGTTGAGGGCGACCGCGACCACATTGCGTTGGTGCAGACGGTGATTCAGCGCTGCCTTGACCGGGAGGAGCTGTGCAACGAGTTTTACCTGCAGCTCATCAAGCAGACGACGGAGCAGCCGGACCCCAACAGCCAGATCAACAGGCAAAACTGGTCCATGCTCGCGCTGCTGCTGGGCGTTGTTGTGCCGCGCCACAGGGAGCTGCTGCAGTACTTGTCTGCACACCTGCGGCGGTGCGGGCTGGACGGCTCAACGGAGGAGGGCAAGTACGCCCAGTTCTGCCAGCAGTGCCTGAACCGCACGATCATGAACAAGAACCGCAAGTACCCGCCGTCGCGGCAGGAGATTGTGTGCGTGACGAAGATGCGGCCCATCCACGCGCGCTTCTACTTTATGGACGGCGAGTTCCGCGCGCTGATGTTTGATGCCGCGGCGACGACGGCGGAGGTGGTGGCGATGATCAAGGAGCGCATTGGCCTGTCTGGCCGCGCGCCAGGGTTCTCGCTGTTTGAGGTGTTTGGCTCGCTCGAGCGCAACATGCTGCCGTGGGAGAAGGTGGCTGACGCGATTTTCAAGTGGGAGAAGTACGCGCGCAGCACCAACGCCACGCAGGAGCTGCGGCTCACGTTCAAGAAGCGGCTGTTCACGGGCAAGCCCGAGATTCCGGCGCACGCGATTGAGTTTGACCTGCTGTTCTACCAGGCCGTGGATGACGTGCGCAGCGACCGCTTCCCCGTGACGCCGGAGGAGGCGGCGTACCTTGCTGCCCTGCGCGCGCAAGTTGAGCTTGGCAACCGGGATGCGCTCGAGGTGACGAGCGGGGACCTGTACTCTGGCATTGTGCAGAAGTACCTGCCAAAGCACCTGCGCACGATTGTGCAGCCGGAGGACATTGCGGCGCACCACGCACGGCTGTCCAACAAGGCGGATGACGACTGCAACCGCGCGTTCCTGCGGTTTGTGCAGAGCTGGCCGCTGTATGGCTCGACGGTGTTTGAGGTGCTGCAGACTTACACGCAGGCGCTGCCCAAGAACCTGTGGCTTGCCATCAACGAGCACGGCTTCCACATTCTTCGGCGGCGGTCGAAGGAGCCGCTCATCTCGTATGGGTACAAGAGCATTGTCAGCTACAGCCCGTCCCTGCGCAACCTCATGATTGTCACGGGCTCGCTCACCCGCGGCACCAAGTTTGTGTTCACCACCAACCAGGCGTCGCAGATTGCGCACCTGATCAAGGACTACACCTACCTCATTCTTCAGCGACGCAAGCCAGGAAAGGCCGCAGCAAAGTGATTCCCGTCTCCCTGTGTGTGTGCGTGTATGTGTGATTGCGTGTGTGTGTGTGATTGTGGTGGTCGTGCCTTCAGTGTATTTCCCTATGTTCGTGGTGTCTTTCATTAGCTTGTGGTGGGAGGAAGGGAGCGTGTAGGAAGGGAGCGTGTGCGAGAAGCAGATGGCGAGCCTGTTGTGTGCACGTTGATCAGCATGTGTGTTTGTGTGTGTGTGTGTGTGTGTGTGTGTGTGTGATGAGCGCATTTCATGGGTTACACATGTATCGGATGTGGGCGGACGAAGCGGCGGCTCGGCCCTGGTGCAGAACGTTCTGTTGATCCCAGCAGTGGCTGGAATGTTGTATTTGGGTGTCACTGTGGCTTTCTTTGTTCATTTGTGTGTCTCGTCATTGGCTCGCGTTGATGTGTTCTTCATTGTCGTAGTTTTGTTCGTAATCTGTTTCATTGATTCATCTCACCCATGCATGTCGAGTGTCACCACACGCCAAAGCGTGCCATTGCGACAAGAATGATGATGACGACGCTGTGGAGCATGCAAGCGCGAATCTTGCTTGCCTGGTGCCTCACAGCAACAATAAACGCATCAACCCAATTCACATTAGCATGGGAACATGAAGGCCAAAGCAAAAGGGGGAAAAGGTGAGAGAGTGATAGAGAAGGGGTGGGGGGGCGGCGGGGAAACCTGACGCAGGAATCAGTATCATGGTTGGCGAATCGTGGTGCTGAAACATGTACATGCATGACAAACAAACTACTTGTTGGTCGCAACACGCGCGCGCTTGTGCGGTGGCTGATCTGCTGATGATCCCGCGTGGTCTCCATGCGCAACACCGCCACCACCGCTGCCGCCTGCTGGGTGCTGTGTATCGGTACCTGGCTTCTTCTTTGGTCGGCGAAGCGGGTGCGGCATGCCCTTGAGACCTGCTTTTGCGTTCACCACGGGCGGGCCTGGCGTGTGTGCGAGGTGTGGCGGCAGCCGTCGCAGCTTGCCCGCATCAGCAACGCGATATGTCTCTGGTTTGGGCAGCACCTTGTACATCTGGCCGTCGTACACCCGCAGTGCTGTGCTGGTGCTGCCAGCGTCGCTGCCTTCTGCTGGTTGCGACACGGGCTCGCCCAATGCCGGATCAAACGTGTATTTGATGGCGCGCTGGTTGTCGTACGCCTCCACCTCGCGCACCAGCACAACGTCCCTTGCTTGCAGCTGCATCTCCTCGCCTCGCTCCTCCTCGTCATCCTCGATTGCGTTGAAGTTCTTCTCGCCCGTGCGCAGCGTGACGTAATCCCCCAGCGCCTCCGGCTCGTGGTCCTTGTCGTCAAGCGCGTGCTGCACGTAATTCATGTAAAAGTCCTGCGGCTCCGCGGCTGTGTCTTGAGGGTTGGCAACCCGGCTGCCCACGTGGATCGCTGCATCCACCAGGCCCCGCTTCATGCGCGCGTGCGCCGTTCGCATGTCGTCCTTGATTTGCTCCATCACGGATTCGTGCTGCTGCCCCCGCTGGCCCTCATGTTCCATCCCGTCCTCGCCCTGCCGCCGTCGCCGCTGGCCCTGTCCCTGTCGCTGCTGCTGCTTGTTGTTTGGCGTCGCGCGTGGCTTGGATCGGGCAGGCGTTTTCGGCTTTGCTCCTTTCTTGCCCTGTGTTTTGCCACTTGCAGTGGCCTTCCTTTTCCCATCGCTCTTTCTCCTTCTCGGGCTGCTCTTGCTGCTGTTGCTGCTGTTGCTGCTGTTGCGACTGCTTGCTCTCTTGCTCGTGACTTTTGCTGCCTTCCCCGCTGGCTCACTACTATCACCGCCATCACCGCCATGAGTGTCGTGGCGGCGTTTCGCTGCAAGGCGTGCGCGCTGAGCACGCGTCATCACACCCGTGTGCAGATCAATGTCTGGCAGCTCGACAGGTTCCTCTTCCTCCTTCTTCACGGCGCGTGTGTTGCGCTGCCTTGGCTGCTTACGTCGCCCTTTCGCCCGCCGTGTGCTGGCCGCAGCCTTTTCCTCTTCGTCCCCTTCTGCTTGTTGCGGTTCTTCTTGTGCAAATTGCTCTTCGTCTTTCACCTCCCCCTTGGGCTGTGCTGTGCCACCCCTGCCACCACTACCACCATCACCACCATCACCACTACCACCACCATTGCCACCACCATTGCTCGTGTCCACCTCGTCTTCCTCGCGGAGGGCGTCCACCTCTGCCAGCTCCGCCTGCACGCCGGATGATGCCGCTGTTGCCGTTGGCGATGTAATTGCCTCCACGGGGTGGTGCGCGGGTGTTGCTGCAAACGCCGTCTCCAGCTGCTCCCACGGCGCCTCTGATGCTGCTGGTGGGCTCTCCCACCCCTGCTCCTTCATCTCCCGCCGCCGGCGCTCGTGAATGGCTGCCAGCTCGTCGTGCTCGCGCTTCGCGACCTGCGCCGCCTTTCGCTCCAGGTGGGCAATGTACTCCATGGACGTGCGGTACAGCGGTGACTCGCCACCAAACTGTGGCGAGATGTCGCCGTAGTTCGGGGACACGTCCCCATACCGCGGCGGTGACGCGCTGTCCGAGACGGGCGTGCGCGGAATCACAGGCACGCCCTTCTCCATACGCACGCGGCGGCCGACGTTGCTGCCCACGGGCCGCTCAATCACCTTCCGCACGCGTTCACCAGTCGCAGGCACTTCGTACTCGATGACGCGGAGCTCAGAGTCTGTGCCGCCATCATACGAGTATTGGCGACCGGCGGCATCGAGCAGCGCGTCCTGCCCGTCCTCGTTGAACAGCAGCCGCGTCGCCCAGCACACCACGGCCCCGCCCCGTGATGTGGCTGTCGTCGCTGCTGTTGCTGCAGGCGCAGGTGCAGGCGCAGGCGTCGTTGGTGCTGCCTTGTTCGCTGTGTCTTCTTGCTTGTCCGTCTTCTTCTTCTTCTTCTGCTGCTGCTGCTGCTGCTGTTCTGTTTGGGGTGTGGGGGCTGTATTTGCGGCAGTGGCTGGTGCCATGGCTGGTTCCGTGGCAGAGGCTTGCTTGGGTGCGCTGCTGGCATCCTGTGCCTGCGGCTGTTTGTGTTTTTGATGCTGGTGTGTTCTGGGTGTGGTGGAGGTAGGGGTGCGATGGGGCCTTGCCCTTGCAGCAGCAGGGGTCGTGGACGCTGACGCGGGCATGGAGATGCGCGCAACAACGGCCTGTGGCGCAGGCTCACGATAGTGGCACTGGGTTGGCGTGCACAGGTGCAGTGTCCCGGACCTGCGACAGATCCAGATGTTGTCCATGAGCCGCGTGAAGCCGAACGAGCCGCACTCGTCCTTTGTGCACTCGTGGTCCTGTGTGGCCCAAGCCGGTGGTGTGGTGTCGCTGCCGTCGTCCGTCGTGCACCAGGACGACACGCCACTGCGAATGTTGAACCAGTACGGATAGTTTGGGCGCACGGGGTCGTCGGGCATGCTTTGCTGGATGACCCAGTTGCGGTGCACGTCCTCCTTCCACTCGCGCTGGAGGCAGCGGGCCAGCAGGATGCACGCGTGTGCAGAGGTGTGGCATGCCGCCGTGTGCTGGTGCAGCCGCTTGTGGGAGAGGCACAGGGCAAGCGAGAGGCGCTGTGTCGGGTGAGGGAGTGAGATGATGTCGCACGTGGCGTCGCCGGGGCACTGCTCCTCGCCCATGCCCGGGACATCGAGCTGCACCTCGCCAGACTTGAACCCGTACCGCTTCTCCATGGCGGGAATGAGTTCCAGCAGCGGAAGGAACTCCTTGAACCTGATGGCAAAGTCCATGGCAAGAAACTCCTGGTCGCCCGTATGCAGTGCACGCAGCTTGTCACTGCTGCGGCTGCTGCTGCTGGCGGTGGTGCCGTCGCCCTGCGTGTCGTAAATGTGCCTGCGCACTGCATCTGAGAGCACGTTGTAGGCGTGGCTGATGCGTTGGAAGCGGCGGGCTGCCTCGTCCTTCTTGTCCTCTGGATTGCGGTCGGGGTGGTTCTTCAGGCAGAGCTTGTAGTAGGCCCTGCGGATTTTGGCCACGGAGGCCGTCTTGTCCACTTGCAGCACGTCGTACAAGTTCATTCGCTCAAACGCTTCCACGCTCACATGCTGCTCCTCGTCCTTCCCTTCTTCTTCATCATCTTCACCATCATCATCGTCATCAACATCGTCCTTGTCAGCAGCGGCAGCAGACCCAGTCGTGGTGGCGTCTTCGTGTTGTTCCTCATCCTCTTTCTGAGACTTGTCTTGTGTGCTTGCATCACGCACGTTGTGATCACTCGCTGCAGCATCTGTGCTCGTTGACGGCTGTTGGTGCTCTGGTGGTACCTCTTGTGGGCTACTGGAGTCATCTTGACCCGTGTCCATCATGGGAGGGGATCTGTGTTATTCTGTTCTCGCTTGTTGTAAGGTGTCGCTAAGTGGCGCGTGGAAAGTGTGAGACAGACGGTGGTCGCTCGATGGCCGGTGGGGGTGCGGTCGTTTGTCGTCTGCTGTTGTGCTCAGTCGTTCAGTTGCTTGCTTGCTTTGCTTGCTTGCTTTGCTTGCTTGATTGGTTGTTGCCGTTTGTGAAGATGTGCATTGAAATTCCGCAAACAAGCGGCGAACGCAACAACACAAAAACGGAAGGACGGCTGGGTGGTGTGGTGGCTGGCTGGTGGTGTGCGTTTGCAGATGGTGCATTCTTTGCTTCTCCTTCCAGCCTTCCATACAACACAGGCACCATCACCACCACCGCTGCCACGACAACCACCGCTGTCATCACAACCACCGCTGCCACGACGAGCGCGGCCAGTAGTGTAGCAGACATGGCTGACAAGGCAGAGCAAAAGCGGACGCAGACGACGCAAGGAGAGGACAAGCCAGGGCAGGAAGCCGATACGCTTGGCTGGGGTGAGCTGCGCACATCGGGAGCGCCCAAGCGGCCACCAAAGTCAAGGCGGCCAGAGTACCCACCCGACGACGATGAGGCAGATAGCGCAAACACCAACGGCACAACCGCAGGCTCAAGGAACGACGATATCTTGGACACGTACCGGGACGCGTTAACTTGCTTTGCCTGCTCGCGCCGCTAAGCTTGCGACAAACCCCCCAAGACAGGGATGTTGCCTCGCTGCCTCGCTGCCTTGCTGCTGTACTTTCCACGCGTGTGTGGTTTCCTTCTCCCATTCTCCCATTCTCCCGCGGCGCTCACGGCGAGTGCCTGTGCTTTTTGACTTTAATGTTCGCGTTCAAACGAAGCAACGATGGACGGTGTGTAATGTAAAGATGGGGTGCTAATCGATCAATGACTCCATGCTGTTTGCTTTTTGATTTCAGACCGTGTACTGAAAGTGTTGGAACGTGCGGATGCGTGACTTGACTGTTCTCTCACTCACATACAAACACAAACTTTCACTCGCATTCACCCGCACGCATGCACAGCATGTGAGCATTGAAGAAGCAAGTTGTACACAACAACTGAGAGGTGAAGTTACATACATTACATAACAAACATATGCCAAAGGTGAAGAGATGAGGGCAGCAACAATCAAAAGGATTGACGATACAGCCATGTGTAATGTAACGTAACGTGGTTAGGATGATGACGATGACGACACGGCAGATGCATCCGTTCCCTCTGAGAATGAGGATGAGGAAGAGTCAGACATGGTGGCGGTGGTTGTGGTGGTTGTGGTGGTTGTGGCGGTGGGCGATCCTGCCGAGAGCAGCTGCTCTTTTTCCTGCTGTGCCTTTCGCTCTGCCTCTGCCTCCTTCTGCATGGCGATGCGCAGCAGAAACCACAACTCCGCAACGCCAGCCACCACGGCGCACGCAATTCCAAACAGCACCCGCTGCAGCGGTGTGTGTGTGGGGGGGAGGGTGCAAGAAGTGCAATCAAGTGAGTGAGTGTGTGTGCCTGTGAGTTGCATGTGGGGAACGCAAGCATGGTGTGACCGTGAACGAGACAAACACACACACACACACACACACACACACACACACACACACACACACACACACACACACACACACACACACACAGGTGTACTCGCACAACACCAAGCCGTCCGGGCGCGCATACATGCAGCGCCATCGGGCAACACACAACAGCACACAAGGCACGCGCACCGAGCCTGTCTTTTCAAACGCGTAAGTTGAGGCGTAGAAGCCAAAGAAGAAGCAAGCGACGAGAGTGGCCAGCACGTTGATGGCGACGGTGAACTGGCGCTGCACCTCCCGCACTGATGTCAAGAGAGGACGTGGAGACACAAGTGAGAGGATATGGAGACACAAGTGAGAGGACGTGGAGACACAAGTGAGAGGATGTGGGGACACAAGTGAGAGGACGTGGAGACACAAGTGAGATGGTATCAAGACACAAGTGAGATGATATCAAGACACAAGTGAGAGGATGTGGAGACACAAGTGAGAGGATGTGGGGACACAAGTGAGATGATATCAAGACACAAGTGAGAGGATGTGGAGACACAAGTGAGAGGATGTGGGGACACAAGTGAGATGATATCAAGACACAAGTGAGAGGATGTGGAGACACAAGTGAGATGATATCAAGACACAAGTGAGATCAAGACACAAGTGAGAGGATGTGGAGACACAAGTGACACACACAGAGGACGGCAAATGGGGCCATGTACGCAATAAGATCGTTCGTGCATGTGTATGTGTTAGTGGGTGGGTGTCAGTAGGCGGCACGGGTTGGATGAAAGATATCGCAACAGCGACTTGGCATCACCTTCCATCGGGCTGGTGTCAAAGTCCCTCTGTCATTGCCAAAGGAGCAGATGATCAAACATGTGAACCACGATTCAAGAGACTTCGCAGTGCGCCACAGAAACACGACAGGTAACGCAAGCAACGCAAGCAACCAGAGAACATACACACGCGCACACGCGCAATCGATCAAAAACAAGCATACACAGGCACGGCGACTGACCTTTGGCTCGAGGTCCTTGACCATCTTGTTGTACTCGAGATTTGCAATGTGCGCCTTCAACTTCTTACGGCGCTCCACAAGCTCCGGTGACTGAGATGCAGTTGAGAGGATGCAGAATGTGGTTGAACGAGGACGGTGGGTCAGTTGTGACGGGTACAAGAGGAGAGGGAGGAAGGGATGGAAGGGATGGAAGGAAGAGAGGGAGGGAGGGAGCCGATGATAAGGTACAGCCGACACGCAACAACGTGCACGCCATTGTGTTCACGACGCACATCTGCACACACGCATTCACACGCATTCACACACGCGTTCACACACGCATTCACACAAGCATTCACAGGCGCATGCGCCCACCGGCTCGGGTTCGATGAGGGGTTGGCGGACAATCTGGGAACGGCGCATGAGGCGATGCATGCGTGGGGCTTTCTCCCCGCCTGCCATCATTGGATGAGGGTGAGCATGGACTCAAGCCGTACGTATCATCACATCATCAGAGGGCACGTCAGCACGAGATGGACCGGCGTATGCACAAATGCATGCCTGTAAGGTGTTAAAAAAAAGCACACAACAGCACACAACAAACAACAAACACACACACGCGCGCATACAACATACACACACACACCGAAAACGAAGACATGCAAGCAAAGCCATACAACACACAAACAAAACCTACATGCGCGCACACGAGCCCAAACACACATAGAATTGCCGAACCTGGCTTTTCAAATGCTTCTCGGTATCTGATGACAAGGTCACGCAGCATGGAGTACTGGATAGCAGAGCTCATGATATCGTCCGGCCTTTTTGGGTGTGAAGGGTCTGGCAAGTGCAACGTTCACGCAACACAATCAGCACGCGGAATGACATGAGGGCTCCTGATTGACAACCGCTCAGAGACAACCAGCCACGCACACGCAACAAAACGAAAATACCATCCGTTTGCACACACACACACACGCACACGCACGCACACACACACACACACACACACGCACACACACATACACATACACACACGCACCTGTGATGTGTCGCAATGTTGACTGTTCTTGTATGTTGAGGCAGAAGACGGGCTTGGTGTCGCCTTGGGAGCTCTGACGCTGGTTGCACTCCAAGCACTTTGTGGCGAAATCGCGCATGGCGGGCGTCACACTCACAAGGACAGGCTCATCGCTCGTCCCCGCTGTGGTGCGGAAGGCTCGTGGCCGCAGCTGTATCCTGTGCCTGATCTCGCCTGCCAGCTTGATGGCCTGCTCCTCATCCACGTACCGCTCGCGCCCCATTGTGGTTTGCATGCGTTTTGGTTGTGCCAGACGAAAAATAGCAACATTTTCCACATATTATCGGCAGCTTTCAAGGCAGCGAGTCGCTCACGACCCGAACGCAACAGAAAGCAGACATAAAAAGAAAAAAGACAACAGGGCGAAGATGCAAGCGGCCAGTGACACCGTTCGTGATGTGCAACGGGCAGAAGGGGACCACCAGCAACAACAACAGCAGCAGCATGAGGGACAAGGGGAGGAGAGCCAGAAGCCCGTGAATGGAGAGGAGGAGGAGGAGGAGGAGGACGGCATTGACGCCCCTCTTGTATTTCAGTGCGCAGCGTGTCGTGCTGTTGTTGGTGACTCCTTTGCGTGGGTGTGCTCTGACCAGGACCTCAACACCATCACCCTTACGGGTAGATGTGTTGTATTGTGTTGTGTTGTGGATGTGGATGTGAATGTGTACTTGGGTGGACGTTTGTGTGTGTGTGTGTGTGTGTGTGTGTGTGTGTGTGTGTGTGTGTGTGTGTGTGTGTGGTGGTGGTGGTGGTGTGTGTGGTGGTGTGT